GTGACGGTGTTGATCAGTCCTTTTTATTGTTGGAAACAAACACCATTGACTAGCTGAGGGAATGTGATACACAATGTGGTCTCCGCAAGCAGCCTCTCTGTTGGGGATGTGGAACAGCCTCATCGATAACAATACAACTCCATCCACATAGACCGAGCGCAAAATAACTGTGGACGCCGGAAATCTGGGAACGCTCAGCGCTCAGAAGAACTCAGACCCGAAATGTTGACTCACTTTCCTTTCTCCGTAGGTGCTGCCTGACCTGCTGAGTGTTCCCAGCCGCTTCTGTTTCCAATTCCGCAGTTGGGAGAATGCCTCAAAGTGCTTCGCGTGGAAACCTGCACTGGGGGCGGGAGTAGAGGTGAAGATGCCTGAAAACGTGGCCTGAGATGTCAGGTTTTGAGACGGACCTTGAAAGAGATTCAGCAACAGAACAAGCGGCAGATTTCTACATCAGCTGGAGTTTAGCAAGGTTAACGCACAAATGCAAATGTGGAGATAAGATAGAGTAATTCTGCCCAAATATATTAATATATCTTAAATAGAACAACGGGCTCATAGTCTAAGATGATGCTCCAGTGCATTATCCAAAGGATGAAACCCAAATTGCAACTGTGCCTGTTTAGGTGGACATTGACCATCCTGCGACAAGCAGTTCCAATGCATAAGATGCAATAATGTTATTATTATTATATCAGTGTTAATCTCTGTTATTGACTGAAGAAATTGATGGCAGCACAGAAACATATGCTGTGAGAGACTTAAAGAGTTTCCCCTGCAGTCAGCATAGAGAGAAGCATCAGAGGGTCTGCTCACAGCCCATCAATCATCCCTGAGAGAGCAGCGGATACACAAGGCCTGAGAACACAGGGGAAAACAGATAAAAAGTGCGAAGAAAAGTAAACGAGAAAATAAAACAAGATCAATTGTCACATATGTTCAGTGCATCTGTCACTAAACATGTGTCTGAGTTCAATGTTAACGTTTTAGGGTTTTTCTGTGGTATGACCCTGAGATGAGATAGTACCGAGCAATGGATAAACCAAAGGGTTAATTTGTTAACCAAAAGACGGTTATTAAACCGTTACAAGTTTCATCCTTACAACTGCAGAAGATGACTCAGGCCGGGCTGACCTCGACCTTCCCTGGGGACACCGATACACCAATAATCCTTTGGCTAATTGTTTAGCCATGAACCCACATCTCACAGTGTCCAACCGTGTCTAACAATGTTCCAATGATGTCCCAATGGTGTCCATCGTGTCCCAAAGGTGTCCAACCCCTTATCATTTGTTTAGTCCTTTTATACCCCAAAGTTCGGACATGTGATGATGAAATAACAAGACGTAGCCAGAGGCCATTCCCACCCAATCAAAGTTTACAGTTTGATTGCCCAATCATATTCCTGAATTGATCCAGCCAATCATTTTTCCACACACGGGAGGCCCCAACGTTATCAAGGTTTTAATCTCAAGAATTTGGGAATTTGTCTGCTACAAAGTGTGAAAGCTTCAATTCAACAGTTAATTGTCCTTCCTCGACATCTTTAAGTCATAAAATCCTTTCAAGATCTCGTCCAAGCAGACCGCAAGGTACCATTAATCAAGACAATGTCAGGTTAACTCGAGGCCACACATTTCTGATCTCGTGAATGTTGACTTTTGGGTCTTCAATGATCTGGACGAGGACATTGAATGTAAGGTATCTAAATTCGTGGATGACACTAAACTCAGTGGGAGAGTGAGCTCTCAGGATGATGCAAAAAGATTGCAACAGGATATAGATAGGCGAGGGGAGTGGGCGAGTAGGTGGCAGATGGAATTTAATGTGGGGAAGTGTGAAGTTATTCACCTCGGTAGAAAAAATAGAAAACCAGATTATTTTCTAGAGGGGAAGAGATTAGATAGTGTTAGTGTTCAGAGGGATTTGGGTGTCCGTGTACACTAGTCTCAAAAAGTTAGTTTGCAGGTGCAGCGGCAACTAAGAAGGTGAACGGCAGTTAGCGTTCATTGCAAAAGGTTTAGAGTACAAGAGTGGGGAAGTCTTGCTGCAACTGTATAGGGCTTTGGTGAGACCGCACCGAGAGTATTATGTGCATTGTGTCTCCTTATTTAAAAAAGGACATACTTGCCCTCGAGGGGGTGCAGCGTAGATTCACTCGGTTAGTTCCTGGGATGAGGGGACTGATCTATGAGGATAGGCTGAATAAACCAGGGCTATATTCTCTAGAGTACAGAAGAATTAGGGGGGATCTTATTGAAACATATAAGATTCTTAAAGGGCTGATAAAGTAGACACTGAGGGACTGTTTCCCCAGTGGGAGAATCTATAACCAGGGTCACAGTCTGAAAATTAAGGGTCAGCCTTTTAGAACAGAGTTGAGGAAACATTTCTTCACTCAGAGGGTAGTGAACTTATGGACTTCACTCCCCCAGAAGGCAGAAGATGCTCAGTTCTTGAACATCTTCAAGGCTGAGACTGATAGATGTTTAAAAAACAGAGGGATTAGGGGATATGGGGAGAGGGCAGGTAATCAGAGTTAGGTCTGAAGATCAGCCATGATCTTATCGAATGGCGGCACAGGCTCGAGGGGCCGAATGGCCTACTCCTGCTCCTAATTCTTATGTTCTTATGTTCTTCTTAGTTGATTGTTGAGTTTACATGATATAGACTGTTAGATTCTTCCAAATATGGAAAGGAATGACACCTGTCCATCAAGTCTTCATCAGACATCAGACATATCACAGAACTCAAAACATATACTTCTCCCTACATATACTTTGGGGTATCGAACAATATTCTTGATAATGATTTCAAATCTCTTCTTACAAAGTCTAAAGTCTTTAGTTAAAGTCTAAAGTTAAAAAATTCAGTCATTGCAGCCTGTTTGCAGCCTGGAGAGCGAGTCCTTCTGAGAGGAGCAGAGTGGTGTGGAGGGTTGAGCGCAAGGCACCATTATTGACTGCCCGCTGGAAGGCAGAGGAGGTTTAACAACACCAGTAAATTTCACCCACAAAATACAAAGTCGCTCCAGTCTACAGTGTTTCCCGTGAAGCGCTTTGAAATGTCTCGACAGCGTGATAAGGCACTGTATCAAATGCGCTGCACGTTAGACTATGTGATGGGGCTTGAACCCACAACCTTCTGACTCAGAGGAGAGAGCACGACTACTGTGCCAGGCTTCCTGATTTTGAAGGTTGAAAAAAAGGAAATAATTTGAATTCTTTCTGTGCGCGTAAGAATTGCAGCACAACATGACTGCAACTTGCTGGTGGTGGGTGACGGTGGTTGGGCTGAGGCGGTGTCAGATGCTGAGTATGGTCCAATTCATCACTTCCGCTTCACTTCCCAACGGATCTTCTATGGTACTAAAGAGGTGCAATTGCTCCTCCCCCTGACTGATCTTCTAATCTAACTCCAGCTAATAACCTGACTCTGCCTTACCCCCACATCCCTTAATTCCTTTTGCAATAAGAAATCTATCTATGTCAGTCTTGAATATGTTCAAGGACTGAGCGTCAACAGCCCTTTGGGGTAGTGAGTTCCATACATTCACTGCCCTTTGAGTGAAGAAGTTCTTCCTCAACTCAGTGCGAAAGGGCTGCCTCTGATTTTAAGGTTGTGACCCCTGGTTTTAGTTTCTCCAACCGGGGGACACAATCTCCCACTATCTACTCTTATCATACCCTTTGATGATCTTATAGGTTTCTATAAGATCCCCTCTAATTCTTCTATATTCTAGAGAATATAGGCCCAAATTGGTCATCCTATCCTCGTAACTCATCCCCTTCATCCCTGGTACTAACTGAGTAAATCTACACTGCACCCCCTCCAAGGCAAGTACATCCTTCCTTAAATAAGGAGACCAAAACTGGACACAGTATTCCAGGTGTGGTCTCACCATGAGTTGCAGCAAGACTTCCCTACTCTTATACTCTAATCCTTTCATAATGAATGCTAACATACCGTTCGCCTTCCTAATTGCTGCTGCACCTGCAGACTAACTTTCTGTGATTGGTGTACAAGGACACCCAAGTCCCTCTGGACGCTAACACATTCCAATCTCTCCCCTTCTAAAAAATAACCCACTCTACTGTTTTTGCTACCGAGGAGGATGACTTCGCACTTCCCTACATTATACTTCATCTGCCACCTACCTGCCCAATCACCTATCTATGTCTCGTATTTTTTTAATGTCGCCCTCTGTGTTGACACTTCCTCCTGGTTTTGTGTCATCCGTGAATTTAGATATATTAACTTTGATGTCCTCATCTAAATGGTTGATGTAGATGGTAAATAGCTGAGGCCCAAGGACTGATCCTTGTGGCACTCCACTAGTCACATCCCGCCAATCTGAAAAGGACCCGTTTATCCCTACTCTTTGTTTCCTACCCGTTAACCATTCCCCAATCCACGTTAATATGCTCCCCCCAATTCCATGGGCCCTTATCTTTTGGACTAACCTTTTAAGCGGCACCTTATCGAATGCCTTCTGGAAGTCCAAATGGACCACATCCACTGATTCACCCTTATCTAGTTTCCTCGAAATATCCTCAAAAAACTCCATGAGATTTGTCAAACACGACTTCCCTTTTGTAAAGCCATGTTGACTTGGCCTAATTATATTGTGCTCCTGTAAATACCGCACGACCACATCCTTAATCAACGATTCTAAATTTTTTCCTATCACTGATGTGAGACTAACTGGCCTGGGGTGGGGTTGGGTGGGGAGGGACACACAGACTGTCGCTGACACCTGATCAGCAAAGAATAAACAGAAGTTTCACCTTTTCTTTTTTTTTGGCTTAAAAATGCCCAGTGCCCCAAATTAGCCATCAGATGGTCTCTGATTTTGCTGAGAACACTGATGTCACTCGGAGTTATCAGCAGTCAAACTGAGTCAAACCACATCCTGCCAAGGCAAACTCATTTCCACCGAAAACTATTCCCAGTGAGCGCAGCTGCCAGAGAGCAGTATCTGCCCAGACTCACAGCCGTTTCCAACTCTCCAGGAAAAGTCTCTAAGTTCTCCGCTTTACACTGCAGTAAGTATCCTCACATCTGATACAGCTCAAAATGCTTCACATAATTTACAGTAAAGTATAGTAACTGCGTGTTAGGTGAGTGCATACCTCAGTATCGTGGTCTCTGATGCATAGCGTTTCAGAAGTTCGTGGTTTCAAGCCCCAGACTGGGGACTTTGAGCTCACAGTCCAGGCTGATGCTCCATTGCAGAACTGGTGCAGGGCTTCTGCACTGTCGAAGGTGACCTCCTTCAAATGAAACATTAAACTGAGCTGCCGTCCGCGCCCTGTTCAGGTGGATGTTAAAAATCCTGCAGCGCTATTAGAAAAGAGAAGGGAGTTTGTCTCTCCCGGTGTCCTGGCTGACAATCCCCCGAATAAAATCACTCATAGCTGCTTGTGGGATGTTTCTGTGTACAAATGCACTGCCAAGTTCAGTTGGATGTTGAAGATCCTGAGGCGCTGTTGGAAAAGAGAGGGAAGTTTCTCTCTCCCAGTGTCCAGGCCATCAATCTCCCAGATTTAAGTAAAATAAATAATAATAATCCTTGCATTTGATATAGCGCCTGATCACATCTTCGAGATGTCTCAAAGCGCTACACAGGATATGCTTATATTTTTTGCCCACTTTACAGTATATTCACTGAAGCGCTTTGAGACGTCTGGAAGATGTGATAAGGCGCTATATCAAATGCGAGGATTATTATTATTACCGTTAAAGCAGGAGACAGCTGTAGGCCTGTGTTCTAAACCCAACTGGCTTTGTGTTGTGAGTACAGCATTTGTTATTTATGGCACACAACACAGTTTGCTGATCAGACACAGATGGACCTGCTTCCAAGGCTGTATCCACTTTAAAATATAACACTGCCCTACAGCACCAGCCCCACTTTGTACTACACAGAGAACAAAGTTTGTGTGAGATCTGTGCTCAGAATCTAATATGTTTATCAGACCAGCCTTTGAGGCAGAGTTTTGTGGGTTTAAGCCCCACCTCGGGACTTGGAGCTCACATAGTCTAAGATGACACTCCAATACAGTGCTGCATCATCAGAGATCCTGTCATTTGGATGAGAAATTAAACCGAGACACCAGTTGTGCCTGTTCAGGCAGAGTTAAAGATACTATGGAACTATTTGAAAAGAGAAGGGAGCTTCTCCTGCTGTCCTGGCCAGATAACCTTGGTCACTCACAATTTCTGGGATGTTGCTGTGCACCAAATTGGCTACTGTGTTTGCCCACAATCCACACAGTCACTGCGCCATGCAGTATATCCTGTGAAAAGTTTTGAGACATCCTCCCGACCAAATTACTATTAATTAATTAATCTGTTAATTAATTTGTTACAAATTAATTTGAATTAATTTGAGCTCTGAGACGCCGTCCGGCTATATAAATCCAAGTTGTTATTGTTGTTATTATTAGCGAACCCGGGGTCAGCTCGTACAAGGAGAGAAAGACCTTTGGCAAACCGATGGTCACAGGAAGGTGTCATGGTGGTTTAGAATCACAGAACCATAGAAATTTATGGTACAGAAGGAGGCCATTTGGCCCATTGGGTCTGTCCGCTCCCTCAGGAGGAATCTCTCAACCTTTTTTGTTCCAGCGCAAAAAGGCCCAGTTCCGAGGTACAAAGGAGATTGACCAGGATGGTACCAGGAATGAGGGACTTCAGTTATCAGGAGAGGCTCGAGACGCTGGGATTATTCTCCTTGGGACAGAGAAGGTTAAGAGGAGACTTAATAGAGGTTTTCAAAATTATGAAGGCATTCGATAGGGTGAATAAGGAGAGACTATTCCCACTGGCGGGTGGGCCGGTAACCCGAGGACACCGATTTAAAATAGTTGTTAAACGAAACAGAGGGGAGTTGAGGAGAAATTTCTTCACACAGCGAGTTGTTCCGATCTGGAATGCGTTGCCTGAAAGGCTGGTGGAAGCCAATTCAGTCACAACTTTTAAGAGAAAAGCAGATAATTATTTGTGGATGACAAGTTTGCAGGGCTATGGGGGGAGAGTGGGGGAGTGGGATTGATTTGGGTAGCTCTTTATTGAAAGAACCAGTGCACAGCACAACAGGACTAAGGGTCTCTATCAATTGCTAATAGGGGGGGCTTGGCAATAAGTTATACATCTGTCAGCTGTGCCTGTTCCAGAGGAGGAGGGTAAAGGTTCTGTCAATTTATTTATAATACGTATAATAATAATAATAATCCTTGCATTTGATACAGTGCTTTTCACGTCTTCTCGACATCTCAAAGCGCTTCACAGAATATAGCGTAAAGTGAATTGACCGTACACTTGTGGGCGAAACGCGGCAGCCAATTGCGCACAGCAGCGTCCCCACAAACAGTCGTAATAAATAATAATAAATAATAATTAATGATAATTAAATAAATAATAATAATAAATAATATTCAATTGCCAGATTATTTGTCTGATTCCAGAATGGATTCTGCTTCCTCTGCATGTTATTCAGTAATGACCTTCAGCAGCAAAGTTATTGAGCAATAGTTAGTCCAACCCCCAAACCAACAGAGAATTGGTCAACACTGAATTAGAATTGCAAAACCTGGGGTTGAAGATTTATTTTCCTTTACAGTTCCTCATGGAAAGTCAATGCTCAAACTTTGGTTTCAGAAGCTGTGAATATCAGTGCCCAGGGCAAGCAGTCAACCCTCACTCAAGTTGGCGAGGCTAGGCCTCTGGGATCCCGGGCTGACTCGATGGGCCGAATGGCCTCCTTCTGCCCTATAAATTTCTGTGAATCGATGGCAGAAAGTAGCGTGTGTGCTTATAGCTAAGACGGAGCTTCACAAGTGAAGTTTTCCTTTGGAAGTGATTCCTGATACAGAGCTTCCTGATACTGCTCAGTGGTGGCAGCCCACGGGCAGTCCTGGGACAACTGTGGGCAAACCTGGGCAGCTGAGGGCAGTTGGGTTACGGTTGCTTTCTGCTGTAGGGGCAATAACCTCCAAAATTCAAAGTCACTACGCTTTACAGTATATCCTGTGAAGCACTCTGAGCCTGGCAACTGAAGTTTAATATAACTAAACACAAGGTTCCGCATAAAGGAGCTAAGAATAGAAATCACAAGTACTCCAGGATGGGATTGAACGTGCAAAGGGCAGGGGGAAGGAAGCTGGAAGCTATTAAGGGGTGTTAATTAACTCATTGCTCAATATATCAAAACATTGAGGCCACCGTGACCACAGGCCTTAGAGACAGTGCAGAGGAGAGCAATGAGGCTGATCCCAGCGTTAGAGGAATGAGCTGTGAGCCGTGATCACACAAGCTCAGGCTCTTCAGTCCTGAGAGAAGATGCTCAGAGAGGACCTTATAGAGGTGTATAACTTTGTGAATCAGATTGAGAAAGTAAACCCACATCAATACTTTAGGATGTTTCAAGGCAGTAGGACAAGAAGACACAGGTTTAGAGTTGTACAGAGCAATTTCAGGCCAGGCACCAGGAAGTATTCCGGTACCCAGAGGGTAATTGACGACTGGAACAGGTAGCAAGGAAGAGTGGCCAGGACACTGGACTCATTTAAAAAGTAACCTGATGCAGTGAATAGGAGGACACAGCCCTGCATGGAGGTGTTGAGTTAAACGATGCTGTTGGAAATGATAGACATACGTTGCCGGAAATGTTTGTTAACGTTTGGCACGACCCTGTGATAAAGGTTCACAGCCTTTTGCCTACAATTCTGCCATAGGTCACATGAGGCAGAGACTGCCACATGTCCAGGAATGACTGACTCATCGGGAGTTTTGTTGTGTTGAGAACACAAGAACTTTTTCTGTCCACAAACCAAGATATTGTGTAACAGGGTTGGTGGGGGCTTCTGAGCAGCAACATCTGGTCGGAATTTACTCAACTTCCCCGAAGACAGAGTAAAGAAAGCTGATGCTTTGCTTTGCACCAAGCGCTGCTCTTACACACAGCGGAGGGTGTAGCTTGGCAATAAGTTAGACATCTGTCAGCTGTGCCGGTTCCAGAGGAGGTGGGTAAAGGTTCTGGTCTGTCACTGATGCTAGTGGTGGTAGGGGGTCAGGCTGGGAGGGGGCTGGGAAGAGGCTACTTACATTCTCCACCCTCTCTCTCTCTCTCTCTCGCTCTCGGTTACTGAGGAAGTGGTAGAGAATACAGTGCGTGAAGTGGAGGCTGTTGGAGAGTCTGAGCAGTGAGGAGACTTTAATGATCCATTTAGAGGAAAATACTAGTTCAGCACAACTGTGGGCTGGCGTTTTACCTCACAAGAGACCCCCCCCCACTCCCTCAACCCCACCCCCCTTAACCCTTTTTTTAAATAAAAAGACCTTTAACCAGTTTCTCTTTTAGCGGATCAACAAACTCTGCCTCAGTTCTGTTTTTTTTCCTCCGGCTGAGATTCTCGTATTGCCCTCATCTCTGACACAAAGTTCTCGTTGCTGTCGTTGTTGTTGTTCCAGGTTCCCGCTGCAACGGACATGTTCAAGAAAGTGGCCAAACGATTTGTGAGCGAGATCGACTCCCAAGGCAGGCTGATACCAGCAACAAGTGTGAATGAATCGGAGCACTTCTACCCTCTGCACCTGCTCCACAGGAGGACAGATGGCCCGTTCTGGAGGAAACCGCGCTACGAGCCGATCCATTTGGAAATCAAACAGATCGCGGACTTTCAAGCCAGTTGGGCATCAGGTAAGTGTCTTGTCCTGCGGAACCCTGAGATGGGGTCAACTGTGCACAGCAGTCAGGCACACGTGGTCAGTTGCTGTGTCCGGTTCCAGCTCTCTTCTGATGAAGCTTTTCCAGCACTTTGGGACGTCCTCCCGACGTGAAAGGGGCTTCTGTGAATGTAATGTTGTTGTTGTTGTTGATGTTTATTTTCTGTGAGGCACGATGCGAGCGCCTGTGGGTGGCTCGGAATCAATCCTGGGTTGTGGAGTGACAGGCACCGAGCTTTCACCTCTTGGTGATACCCAGCCCACAAACAAAAATCAAAGCCTGCGCTCGGGAAGCGAGAGAGGCTGGGGGTGAGACATTGGGCTGTTGATCTGCGCAAAATGGCTGCCGCTTTTGCCAACAAAATACCCAGTCACTACACCTTGCCCACACTTCATAAAACCTTCCCTGGACTCATCCCTGCTCTCAAATTACCAGCCCATCTCCAACCTCCCTTTCCTTTCCAAGGTCCGTGAATGGGTCGTTGCTTCCCAGCTTCGAAACAGATCTGGTGAAAGTCACAAATGACATTTTGTCCATCTGTGACCAGGGCTCCCTCTGTCTCCTCGTTCTCCTTGACTTCTCTGCTGCCACTTAATACCATTGACCACTCCATCCTCCTCCACCACCTCTCCTCTCACCTCAACCTTCATGGTTCTGTCCTTGACTGGTTCAGGTCCTACCTTTCATTCCGTCCCCACTTTGTCTCCACAAATGGCTTCTCCTCCAGTCCCCGCACCATCTCATGCGCGTTCCTCAGGGCTCTGTCCTTGGTCCTCTCCTCTTTAATATCTACATGCCTCCTCTTGGTGACATCATCCACAGACATGAGGTCAACTTCCACATGCATGCAGATGACACCCAACTCTATCTCTCTGCCTCCACCCTTGACTCTAGGACCACTGCTGTCCTGACAGAATGTCTGTCAGACATCAAGTCTTGGATGAGAACTAACTTTCTCCAGTTGAATGTCAACTCCGCCACTGCCTTCCGCCTCAGCACACCGATCCCTCATTCACGCATTTATAACATCTAGGCTCGACTATGCCAATTCCCTGTTTGTTGGCCTTCCCAATTCTTCCTTCCACAAGCTGCATCCAGAACTCTACAGCTCGTGCCCTATCAATCTCCAGGCTTCATGACCTTATCACCCCCACCCTCGCCCGGCTCCACTGGCTCCCCATTCCCCGGAGGATAGAGTTCAAAATTCTCATCCTCACCTTCAAGGCCCTCCACGGCCTTGCTCCTAACCCCATATCAACCTGTCCGCTTCCTCCACTCTGCAGGCTCCGGCTTGCTCAACGTCCCCCGCCCAGCCCACCCCACCATCGGTGGTCAGGCCTTCAGTCTCTCTACCCCCACCTTTTGGAATTCCATCCCCCGGTCACTTTACCTCGCTCCTTCCCTTTTATCCTTCAAAGCACGTCTCAAGACCCTCCCCTTCGAGCGAGCATTCAGCCATCCTCTCACCCCCACCCCCCCAGGCCTCCACCCCTTCTCATCCCAAACCCCTGCTCGGATCGAAATCCCTGGCTCTCCAGCGCCTTGGGACACCCTCTCGACGTGAAAGGCGCTGCGGAAATGTAATTTGTTGTTGTTCGCAGAAAATCCTGTAAAGAGCTTTGTGACGTACTCCCGATTTGAAAGGCGACATATCAAAATATAATGGTTATTATTATAATTATTATTATTGTTTTAAATTTAAGACTGGGCTGAATTTTCAAAATTCTTAAATCCGGTCTGAATTTGGTTTCCTTTCCTTAAGAAACTATGGGGAAAAAATCAAGACCAGATTTAAGAATTTTCCAATAAAGATGGAATTGTCAGATCAGCTGAGGGCAACAACAACAACAACTTGGATTTATATAGCGCTCTCCACGCCAGACGGCGTCTCAGAGCACTTCACACTAACAGATCCCAGGCCCAAGCCAGGGGGAGGGGGAGGAAGGTGCCCAAAGGCGCGGTCGAAAAGAAAGGTCTTCAGCAGAGACCTGAAAATAGGAAGAGAGGGGGCGAGGCGAAGGGAGTGAGGAAGGCAGTTCCGGAGCCTCGGGGCATAGTGGCTGAAGGCACGGCCGCCGAGGGTGGAGTGGAGGACTCGGGGGACAAGAAGGAAGCCAGACCCAGTGTAACGAAGGCAACGGGCACTGTTGTGAGGAGAGAGGAGGTCAGAGAGGTCGGGGGGTGCAGAGGAGTGGAGGGATTTGAAGACAAAGGTGAGGATCTTGAAGTCGATCCTCTCTGGGACAGGCAGCCGGTGCAGTCTGGCGAGGGCCGGGGGGAGGGATCGGGGAGCGGAGTTTTGTGTGGGTGAGAATGCGGGCGGCAGAGTTTTGAATAATCTGGATTTTATGGATGGTACTGGAGGGGAGGCCGGCGAGGAGGGCGTTTGAATAGTTCAACCGAGAGGTGACAAAGGCAGCTGCTATCTCACCTTTAGCAGGTGGGGCTCAAATATGTCACAAAGTCACCAGATTGGTCTGGATGAAGAACCTCAGCCACTACTTTGTAAAGGCTAAGCTTGAGCTACGAGGGGCAGTATCGGGGCAGGAAGTGCATCTTTACCCAGAGGGCAATTATTGTCTGGAAAGGGTTACAGGGAAACGTGGTAGAGGCCAGGACACTGGAACTCACTTAAAGAACAGCTCGCCAGAAAGATGGTGGGGTGGGTGTTCTTGAAGGATGAGATCAAACGGTTTCTTCATCCCAACTGATCTTGTGAAGATAAAACTAATCTCCGTCACTCCCCGATTGTCCATCCTTTCGCTCCTGGACTTGTGTCCCCTCAGTTCCAGGCCCATCCCTTGGATTCCAACAAATGGAGAATTCTAACGAGAAAGATTTGAAGATGAAGATCAAGGTGACTCCAGTAGAGGGAAGTGTCCATGGCAGCAGCAGTGTCTCGGAAAGCACCTCCCTGCTGACAGAGAAGCTTTCCATCGATGTGATTGAGATAAATGAAAGCTTACTGGGCAGGTAACGTGATCCTGTTATAGTCAGTGAGTTTCAACAGTAACTTGCATTTCCTCGCAGTTTCTTAAAAAGAAAACGCTTCCAAACTGTCTTAAATCTTAAGGCAAAAATGGGTCTCATGGCTGAGACTAAGTAGAGAATGTCAGGGATCTGAATGTGCATTCAAATGAACATTCAGAGCCCTTCTCTATCTCTGCCTTGTCCCCCACTTAACCTATTTTCAGATCGCACCCAAAAACCTTCCTCTTGTTTCCCTGCCCACTCCCTCCGCTCATCAGGCTTCGCCCTGCTCCATGTCTCCCGCCCGACCCTCCCTACCATCGGTGGCCGGGCTTTCAGCCTCTCTGCCCCCACACTCTGGAACTCCATCCCACGGTCCCTTCGCCTCACTTCCTCCCTCGCCTCCTTCAAGGTCGGTCTCAAGACCCTTCTCTTCGACTGTGCCTTTGGTCTCCCTCCCACCTCTCTGCTTTCCCTCACCCCTACACCACCCCTCCCCCATGCTCAGGCCCTGACATCTGACTGTTCAGCGCTTTAGGACGTCCTCCGACGTGAAAGACGCTCTATAAATGTCATTTTGTTGTTGTTGTTGTTGTATTTAACCGTGCCTATAGTCCTCTTTCTCCCTGACCTAGCGCCAAACTACAGCATTGTTTAGCACTCAGAGATGGTACCCTATGTGAAGTGTCGTGTAAATGCAAGCTGTTGTTGTAATGTGCGGCATTTTACCAACATCTTGGAGCGATAGAAATCAATAGTATCTGTGCTGCTCTTTTACAGAGCAATCCTTCCAGCATCATTCCCACCCATACTCCTGTTGTTTACTCCTTGCTGCCCTTGACCTGATGTCAGCCTCTGGGTATGGGGATCACATAAGAACATGTTGGATGAAAAGAAGACCAAGGTCCATCTATTTCACCTTCCACCTTCCTGGCGGTCGCATGCACATATGTCCCGAACTACCTATGTACTATATCCCATAATGTTATTTCCTAAAAGAAATAACTAATCTGTGTTCTAATCTAATCTGTGTTTGAAGGAATCAAAACTTTCTGCTTCAACTGTCTCCCGAGAGAGTTTGTTCCACAGGTTTACTGTTCACTCACTGAAATAGTGTTTCCGTAGATTTGTTCTGAATTTACACCCTTCAATCGCAGGCCGTGTCCCCTGGTTTTACTATTCTGAACTAGTTGAAACTGTCTGTCTTAATCTACAGTGTCCAGCTGCTTTAGGACAGCACGGACTGGTTTGGTTTGAGTTGAGTTGAAGGATGTTGTCGAGTGCCGCTTTCGTAACAATTTATTTTTTTGCCATTTAGGAAAATTAAGAAGCACCAGGATTACATAGAGCGCAATTATTCTGGAAAGCTGTACATTGTTACTGAAGCCCTGGTCTCTAAAGAGGTCGTCACATTGATGAAAAGCACCAAGCAAGAGTGTGATGTGATGGTCTCATTCTCGGGTGCCTTCGAGGTGAGGCACTGATCAGTGTCAATCCCAACCTATCTCCTTTCCCGGTGTAATTGCAAAGCACGTTCACCTCATAGTCGTGGCCGACACTCCAGTGTGGTGCTGGGGGGCACTGAGGTGCTCACCTCGGGACGCGACATAAAACTGAGCTCCTGTCTGCCTGTTCTTCAGGTGGAGGTTAAAGATCCCCCGACTCTGTGTGAGCAGTGAAGGGTTTCAGGAATTCTTTAAAATGAACATTGGTCTCCTCCCCCTCTCTTCGGCACAACTTTTCTCCAATAGTTATCCGATCTTTCATCTGGCTGCTCCTGAGATTGGTACACATTGTGGAGTCCTGTAGCTCAGTGGTTAGAACACCCGCCTCCCGAGCGAGAGACCTGGTTTGATTCCCGGCAGGGCGAAACGTTGGGCGGGTTTCCTTACCCCACACGCCTCTGTTTGCCGAACAGTAAGTAAGAACCCAGTCGTTAGTCGATTGGCAGATCGCTTTTCCGGGGGGTGATAAATAATAATAAATTGGTCACTTTAATCCATATCTGTTTGTGGGACACTGTTGTGCGCAATTGGCTGCTGCGTTTTACCCACAAAATATCCAGTCAATTCACTTTATAGTATATTCTGTGAAGCGCTTTTAGATGTCTCGAAAACGTGATCGGAGGCTACATCAAATGCAAGGATTATTATTATTATTATTGTCCCACAAGCTCCTTCCCCTCACTATGTTCCAATCAATCTTCATCTCCTGCTCCAACTCAATCCTCACTAGTGGTTACTAGGAACTCCTCCTTTAGCTTCCCATCCACGTGCTTTTGAATGCAGAGCTGGCCGTCACTAACTATATATTCTTGGTTTCTATACCTTTCTCTCTGGCTCCATACAGCCTCTGCGATGCGCGATGTACCATGGGCACTGAGCTAAGGCTTCTGAATAAAAAAGACTGAGACAAATTCTTGGATCTCACACTGTAACTAATTGATCCATGCTGATTGATCCAAACTTACCAGTTTGACTGCACCTTTTACGCCCCCCCGGTCCCGAGGTGCCCAGCGAGGAGCTGTGTGAATGGAGATTGTATTGTATTTTCACAAGGCGACATGTTTATTGCTGAACCACAACAGAATCTCGTTGTCTCTTAATAATAATAGTAACAACAATAATAAGAATAATCATCTTATCACGCCATTGAGATAATACTCCTAATAATAATCCTTGCATTTGATATAGCGCTTTTCACGTCTTCTAGACGTCCCAAAGCGCTTCGCAGGATATACTGTAAAGTGTAGTGACCTGCCCAGATTTTGTGGGCGAGGTGCAGCAGCTAATTGTGCACAGCAGCATCCCGCAAACAGTCATGGATTCCAATTTTTTTTCTCTCTCGACAGCTGGGGGGCAAATGCCAAAAGTCAGCGGTAAAAAGTCTCGAGATTCCCGAAGGAACAGTCATTGCGTACAAGGTGTGGGAGCTCACTGTGATGCAGGATAAAACCTTGTGTGAGTGGAGCTGATCCGTGCGAATTCTTAACCCCTTCCTGACAGGAGGGCATCAAATGGAATGTTATCTCTCCCGGAGGGGGCGGCCAAGAGGGGCCCAAATTGGAGCCGAGATCAGAGGAGTATCAAAGTCTGACATTTCCCTTTCCTTCTCAGGCCTTTCGTTGCCGCAGATAGAGACAGGACTCCTGAGAGAAGCCTGCGCGTTTGCTGGTACGTGCACTCACTGCTTGTTTGGCCAGATGATTTCCCCCCAATTGCAAAAGATCTGAGGATGGTGCACAGTTTAGCAGGGAGCCAAGAGGGGATGGGGTGGGGGGGGTGGGGGGAAGGGGGAAAGTGGGTGCCAGAAAGGATGGTAGAGGCCAGGCCGCTGGACTCAGTTAAAACGCAGCTGGGTCCTGTGGTGGGAGGATGGTGTAGCTTCCAGCCACTACTCCCCGAAACTCTGGAACACTCTTGCTCCACCCTTCTGCCTTTCCTCTTCCTTCCCCATCTTCAGGTCATGCCTGAAGACCTTCCTCTTTGACCGTGCCTACAGCCATCTCCCTCTCCCACCGGGTTGGCATTGTGCTCTGCCACTGTCAAGCGATCTGGTGACGCGACCCTGTGTGAGGGGCGCTGTGTAAATGCAAGTTGTTATTGGGAAAGATCACCCAGAAAAGTTTTCAAAAAAAAACTAAAGCCTGGATGTGGGGATGTGTAACAACAACAACTTGGATTTATATAGCGCCCTCTACGCCGGACGGCGTCTCAGAGCGCTTCACAGTAACGGATCCCGGGCCCGAGCCAGGGGGAGGGGGAGAAAAAGAAAGATCTTCAGCCGAGATCTGAAATTAGGAACAGAGAGGGGACGAGGCGAAGGGAATGAGGAAGAGAGTTCCAGAGCCTTGGGGCGTAGTGGCTGAAGGCACGGCCGCTAATGGTGGAGCGGAGGATTTGGGGGACAAGGAGGAAGCCAGACCCGGTGGAATGAAGGCAATGGGCACTGTTGTGAGGAGAGAGGAGGTCAGAGAGGTCGGGGGGTGCAGAGGAGTGGAGGGATTTGAAGACAAGAGTGAGGATCTTGAAGTCGATCCTCTGGGACAGGCAGCCGGTGCAGTCTGGCGAGGACTGGGGTGATCGGGGAGCGGAGTTTGGTGTGGGTAAGAATGCGGGCGGCAGAGTTCTGGATAACCTAAATTTTGTGAGTGGTAGTGGAGGGGAGACCAACGAGGAGGGCATTTGAATAGTCCAGCTGAGAGGTGACAAAGGCATGGACCAGGGTTTCGGCGGCTTTTGGGGTGAGATATTGTGTACGTGTCTGTCTCTGACCCAGCCCTTGCCTGGTTTGATGTTCCAGCTGACGCCCCCTTGGAGCAAATGGTAATGAGGAAGTACGACGTGTGCCGTCAGCTCAGTTACCTGGAGAGCAGTGCGAAGCCTCAACTCTTGGACCTCATTTGCCAGATCATTGAGGACTTTGAAGTCTGCTCATTTCTTGAGGACACGGTAAAGATGTCTCGCTTGTCACAGGGGTTCGGGGTGGCGGGAGAGGGGGGGGGGGGGGCATGCTATTAAAGAAGGATTCCGCCCACAAAATATACAGTCAATTCACTTTACAGTGTATCCTGTGAGGCGCTTTGAGACGTCTCAAAAACATAAGGTGCTATATCAAATGCAAAGATTATATTCTCCTGCAGTGTCTGTGTAGGAACCCGGTTGTTAGTCGATTGGCAGATCACTTTTTCGGGGTAATAATATTGATAATTTGGTCACTTAATCCACAAATTGATTGTGGGGATGCTACTGTGCGCAACTGGCTGCCATGTTTCGCCCACAACACAGTCAATTCACTTTACAGTGTATTCTAGGAAGCACTTTGAGACGTCTCGAAGATGTGATAAGGCGCCAAATCAAATGCAAGAATTATTTTAATGGTGTGACAGGCAAGGACAGCTGCGGCCAACACATTGAATAAATCCCCAACAAAACAGCAGTGGAGTGTTACAGAGTACCACAGTCAGGGTGGTTTGGAGCCAGGAATCCCCCTCAGGGAATGCGAGTAAGGATTCAGTCCCTGAGCTTTTACCTTGTGAAATGTCTATTGCCCTCAGCGTCTGAACCAGTGTTAGCCAGATAGCATAGGGCAGGGCCCATTTGCCCTATCATCAAGCCCGGCTTCCCTCGAGCCATCCAAACTTGGGGCCAGTGGTGCTGAGGTAATGTTAATGGAAGGTGTCCCAGAGGTCGCGGGTTTGAAACCCACCGTTTCAGTGTTATAACTTGAATTCCAAAATAATTGGTAAATTTGAGTTCCCAACAGAACAACACTGAATTTGGTGAGAGTGGGAATTCGGTGCAGAGGGGGAAAGAGGTACATAGTTATAAAATATCTAATATTTATATTAAAATAATATAAAACATGTCTGGGAATATGGCAGGGCAGCTGAGACCGGTTGCATGCACAATGTGTGCCATGTGGGAACTCCAGGATGCTTTGTGTGCCCTGGACAGACACGTGTGTAGGAAGTGCCTCCGGCCGCTCAAGCTTGAGCTTCTGAGATACACATCCCCTGAGTGTGGCACTCACAAACCTGTACTGAATACCGGTCAGGGTGATGACACCTCTGCGGAGAGGAGTGAAAAGCAAATGGATGCACAGGAGGACACAGGGAAGAGAGTCAATGCAGTTTGTCATTGGGGGACACAATGGTGAAAGGTGTAGACAGGCGTTTCTGCAACCAAAGATGTGACTCTCGCTTGGTATGTTGTTTCTCTGGTGTCAGGGCTGAAGGCATCTCCGAACGGGTTCAAAACATTCTACAGGGGGCAGGATCTAGAAGTCGTGGTCCATGTTGGGATCCCTGATGTAGGGACAAAAGGGTTGAGATCCTACAGGGAGAGTCTCAGAAGCTAGGGAAAAAGCTAAATAGTAGGACCTCAAAGGTGATGATCTCTGGAGTACTCCCAGTGTCTCGTGCAAGTGAGTATCAAAACAGCAGATCAAACACATAAATGTATGGCTGGAGAAATGGTGCAGAAAGGAGGGCTTCAGGTTCCTGGATCATTGGGAACAGTTCTTGGGCAGGTGGGACTTGTGGATGGGTTGCACCTGAACAGGGCTGGGACCAATGTCCTCACGGGGAGGATAACTAGTGCTGTGGGGAAGGGTTTAAACTAATTTTGAGGGGGGAAGGAAATCAAGATGCAGCATCAGAGAGCAGAAAAACGTTACACAGAGGGCTGGACAAGACGAATAGCAATACAGTAAGGAGTAATCTAGAAAAAGGAGGGATTAGACGGGGGAGAAATGCACAACAGACTAAGTTGGTCTTGGAGTGCATGTGCGTAAATGCACGGAGTGTGACAAATAAGATTGGTGAGCTGCGGCTCAAGTTGTCACATTGGGTTATGGTCTCGTGGCAATAACGGAGACTTGGCTCAGAGAAGGGTGGGAATGGGAACTGAATATTCCTGGTTACAACGTATTCAGGAGGGATAGCCGAAACCCTTCGAAATGCCTTTGTCACCTCTCGGGTGGACTACTCTAATGCCCTCCTCGCTCGTTTCCCCTCCTCCACTATTCACAAAATCCAGCTGATTTAAAACTCCGCCGCCCGCATTCTCACCCGCACCAAACTCCGTACCCCGATTACTCCAGTCCTTGCCAAACTCCATTGGCTCCTGTCACAGAGCGGATGGACTTCAAGATCCTCACTCTAGTGTTTAAATCCCTCCATTCCTTGGCACCCCCCTATCTCTCTAACCTCCTCTACCCCCACAGCAGTAACTGCTGCCTCCGCTCTATTGGGTCCGGCCTCCTCCGAGTCCCCCGAATCATATGCTCCACCATTGGAGGCCGTGCCTTCAGCCACGACGCCCTGAAACTTTGGAACTCCCTCCCTCAATCTCTTTGCCTTGCCCCCTCCTTCCCCATCTTCAGGTCGTGACTGAAGACCTTCCTTTTCGACCGTGTCTACGGTCACCTTCTCCCTCCTCCTTGGGCTCCAGCATTGTTAAGCGCTCAGAGATGCCATCCGGCATGGAGGGCACTATATAAGTACAAGTTGTTGTTGATAGGGAAGGAGGAAACGAGGGTGTGTCAATATTAATTAAAGACATGGCTACAGCTAGAGGGTCCAAAAACAGAATCCATTTGGTTAGAGTTAAGGAACAGAAAAGGAGCTGTTTTTCTGTTAGGTGCACACTATAGACCACCAAATAGTGGGAAGGAGATGGATGAGCAAATCTGCAGCAGATTTCAGAAAGATGCAAAACCAATAGAGTAGTGATAATGGGGGAATTCAATTATCCTAACGTAGACTGGCAAAATAACAGTGCAAAGGGCAAGGAGGGGGAAGATTCCTGAAATATGTGCAGGACAACTTTCAGTTTGTTCCAGCCCAACGAGGAAGGAAGCAGTGCTGCATCTAGTTCTGGGGAACGAAGTGGGGCAAGTGGAGCAGGTTTCAGTAGGAGAGCATCTGGACAACAGTGATCACAACACCATTAGGTTTAAAGTACTTATGGAAAGGGATAAGGAACAATCAAAGGTGAAGATACTCAACTAGAAGAGGGTTAACTTCAGTAAGTTAAAAAGGGACTCAGCCATGATGGACTGTAAAGAAAGATTGACAGGTAAAGCAGCTAATGAGCATTGGGAAGCCTTTCAAAGTGGAAATAGTTTGGGGACAGAACAAATACATGCCCACAAAAGGGAAGGATAGGGCATCCAAACCTCCCGGGACGAATAGGGAAATTGGGATTAAAATAAAACAGATAAAGGAGGTTTATGATTAACGTCAGGTCCAAAATGCAGAAGATAATCAAATAGAATATAGAAAGTACATAGGAGGAGAGAGGGCACTAAGAGGGTTGTCGGTGCTCAAGGTAGATAGTTTGCCAGGTCTGGACCGGACTCACTATCACATCATTAGACTTCTCACTAGTTGATTTCTCTGCCTTGTTTTTGTTGCCAGTTGTGTGACGCTTACGATGGAATTAATCCGGTGTCGCAGGACTTTGACACATTGGAAGCGTCAAGCTGCGATCGGGCCCGGGCACTGCTGGACTGGCTGGGAATCTTGAGAGAATATCAGCCCGATGCAGCGAAGAAGGATGAACTTCTTCAAGCAGTTTGTCTTCTGGTCGGAGCAATAGTAGGTAAGGAGCATGGGAGGGAGGGCAGGGAAGGGGAGGCGAGAGCGGGGCAGGGAGAGGGCAGGGGAGGGCAGGGCATTGGAGGGTAGAGGAGGGCGTCGCATAAAGAACATAAGAAATGCTAGATGGAAAAAAAGAACATCTAGTTTGTCTTCCACCTTCCTGGCTGCCACATGCACATATGTCCAAAGCTGCTTTTGTACTGTATCCCATAATGTTATTTCCTAAAAGAAAACTCTAATAAGTTTGATGGAATCAACAATTCCTGCTTCAACCATCTCCCTCGGGAGCCTGTTCCTCAGGTTTACTATTCACTCACTGAAAGAGTGCTTCATAGATTCGTTCTGAATTTACCCCCTTCAACCGCAGGCTGTGTCCTCTGGTTTTACCAGTTGAAACATGATCTACGTTGTCTAGTCCCTTTAGAAGGTTCAAGATGGCAACTATATCGCCTCTCAATCTTCTTTTCTGGTGTCAGCGAGCCCGATGTCACGCAGCTTCACTCAAACCTTTTCTCGTTTCTCTTTTCAGATTTGCCATCAGCGATCTTGCCGATGTTGGTGGAGAGCCTGAAGATGGAGCTTATCCCAGAGCAGTTTCGAGTGGTGAGGAATAATGAGACAAGAGACAAGAAAAGAGAGAAAGGAGAGGGGAGAGAGAGAGAAAAAGAGAGAAGACAAGAAGGGGGAGAGGAGAGATGGGGGAAAGGATGGGAGGATAAGAAAGAGAGAGAGGCAGAACAGCAACAACAAATTACATTTGTGTGGCATCTTTCACGTCGGGAGGACATCCCAAGGCTTTGGACAGCGGAAGGCTGGGTCATGGCTTATTGCTGTGCACTTTGGCCGCTGAATTTTCCAATAGATACACAGATACCACATCGACAGAGGTTATCTCAAAGCCCTTTCAGACATAACAAAGTTTTAGAGGTAATTCCAATGAAAGGATATTATTATCGCCAGGTTTCTGAATGTGGCAGAATTCAGCCTCACAGGCGATGAACGTGAGATGTTTCAATGTGGTTCTGATTTTCTCTGTTGAAGGTTAGACATATCGTTACGAGCACGGTGTTTTGGAAGATGGAGGGTGACCTGGATGCCGGTAGCATGATGGGAGATGCGCTCGGGAAAACTGTGGCAATCCTGAAGGAGACCGGAGTGGAGCTGGAGAGGGCCGACTTGTGCCTGAGGTACCGTATTGAACAGACAGGAGGAACAAGGAGCCTCTGGGAGCTGGACATGGTCTTGTACAGCCTGAAGACACTGAGCGGTCAGTGACCTGGCGATTGCGCCTGTGGACCCAGTGCTTGGCGTTTGCTGCGGACGGAGGTTTTGACCCTGGTTTGATTTCGACACCAACTATTTGCATTTTATATAGTGCTCTTCACGTGGGCGAAATGTATAATTTCGGTTCATTTAAAAAAAAAAACACTTTACATCGTGTTTCGTGGCTCAGAATTTTTACATAAAATTATTTTGCAAGTCCAGACTTGACGAGCCTTGGCTCTTGCCAACCTGCGCCTAATATTCTCCGGAATTAGGACGGTAGGACATGTCCCTCCAGGGAGAGAGAGAGAGAGAGAGAGAGGGCATTCAATTCCAACAATCTCTCTCTCTGGAGTTGCGTGGGATTCTCAGCTTTGTTTGGATGCTGTAAAGCATAGGCCATGTCTGACACCTGACACCCCCCCCCCCCCCCAAAAAAAAAATTTTATTTTAATGCCATTTTGTAGTTGTTTCTTGTAACCTCTGCGTGGAATCTGTATGTCTTAGCTCGATCCCCGCAGCTTTTCATAGCATTCAGAGTCCGGCAATTGGTTGAATCGATTTTTTTTTTAACCTCGAAGTCTGTTTTCTGCGGTTCGTAAAGAAACTTTACAGGAAATAAACAGCTTCGAAATGAGAGTCTCCGTTTAGGAATTTGCCAAATTTTGGACGGGATGAAATGCAACAAAAATAGAGTAAACCTGGAGCCCCGTCTTCCTCTCACTTTCTGTTTCTCCCCCCCCCCCCCCCCCCCCACCCCCTTATTTTGCTCTCTTTCTCTCGCTCTCCCACCACCTCTTGCTCTCTCTCCCCCTATCTTGCTCTGTCTCTCCCTCCACCCGCCCTCTTGCTCTCTCCCCCCCCCCCTCTTGCCTCTCTCACTCTCCTCCTCTCTTGCTCTCTCTCCTCCCTTCTCTTGCTCTCTCTCCCCCCTTCTCTCGCTCTCTCTCCCCCTTCTCTCTCTGTCCTCTTTTGGATATTCTCCGCAAAAGTTCTTTATTTTAGGGTGTGAAACATTTTTAACCCATTAGTCTTGACCCCAACCCCCACCCCGGCTACTGAAAGCAGCCGCTAACAGCAGTGTGGGTATCACGTCCGGCACCTCAACCACCCACAAGCTACAGTCAAACCCACGTTTACAAAAAAAAAATCATTTATTTATTTTTGTGAAGATAATTTCAATCTGATTGGCAAGTGCTTTACACGCACACAATAACATGCAGCGTTTCAGAAACACAGCTCACCTCCCTGGGAACCACCACTTAACAGCTTCGGAGAAAGAGGGAGAGAGAGTGATGGAGAGAGGGAAAACAATGTGAACACAGTAGAAAAATTAAAACCGAAGGGTAGAAAACATTACCTAAACCCAAGCTCTGAAATGGTGGAATAATCAAGTGAATTACTGGAGTCTTTTATATTACGAGATGCTTTCCAGGGGGAAGTGGATATGGATTCAATCTGAGAGGAAACTGGTGGTCAGACTGGCAGTGTCATGCTGGGGCTGACAGCAACACTTTTATATGTTCTGGTCAGCGAAGTGGAGCAAAGTCGTCGCCCCCCCACCCCTACCCTGGCTGGTGGTGGGGAAGGTCCTGTCAGGGGAGGGGGAGGGAGAAAGGCAGAGGTTGGGTTGATAAGTTATTAGCTGCCGGGCAGAAGATTGCGCTGAAGAGTCTCTGTCTGTGCTGTCATTCCTTCTGCAGGAAAAGTCTTTGCTCTCTTTCAGGAGATTGGCTGAGGAACAGCCCTAAGGTATCGAGGATGGCAGTGGGTGGTCTCTCTGTTGTGTTACTCAGTGCTGGGGAGGGGGGGGGGGGGGGCGGAAAGACATCACAGGCCCCACGTCAGCAGGGCCGCCGAGGGCGTGATTACCAGCCCTCAATTACAAACCAAACCAGCCAAGGCTGTGAAGGGAAGAGCGTGTGCTGTGAGGATGAGGTCCAATGGGCCGAGCACCAGAGAACCAAAATGCCACCTGGTTCTCAGCCGGTCGGACCATTTTACCTTGAATGTTTTGAGGAGCCACAGCATTTGCGGCAAATAAATAACGCTTGCGTTCGATACGGCACTCTTCCAGCCGTCTCAACGAGGGATTTAACGCGAAGGTGTAGTAACTGTGTGGTTGTAGGCGCACCTGGCAGCAAATCTGGGCAGAGCAACATCCCACAGACATCTGTGAAGTGAGCAAGTTCTCAAGTCCAGTCTTTGGACTTTGGAAACTGACCGGCGCAGGTGGAATTTCAGGATTGTGGTGTTCTGCAATGAAACGTACAACTCCCTCCTGGCCAATAAGGGGGTGTTGGGTGTGCGCAAGCCCCCGCCTGATGCTGCCTGTCTTGCGTTGGGTGATGCTGCCTCCGTTCCTGAGAAACGTCCCCGGGTTCGAATCCCGCTTTGCCTCCAGGCGCTGGGATTGTCGGCGCCTGGTTTTACTGTGAACATCCCGAGTGTCGGAGCACCGCGGCCTGATAAACTGGCCCGAACCACCACACGCAACAACGTACACCCACACAGACGAGACACGTATGACACTCACACACCCTTACAGGCAACTAGGTACACACGCGCACACAGACGGCAGACAGCTGCGCATGCACCCACACGCGTGCACACACACCACAGGCCTCGCTCAGCGCAGTTATTTAGGGTGCGATCGTGTGTCTAGGATGGGACGTGGGTTCTCGGGGAGCAGGTGAGGGAGAAAGCAACGGGATGAGATTCTGACGGGATTTGTTTCTGTCGGATCCACCGACGTGCAAGCCGTGGTCGCCCCCTCAGCGAGTGAACGAGATCAGTCGTGACACAGCCACATACACTTCCAATGCCCTCAACCGGCATTGCAGACCGAATGGTGGTGGTGGTGGTGGGGGGTAGAGCGAGGGTGAGGAAGCTCTGTCCCTCAGGGGTCCTTGGGCTCCAGCCTGTACGACAAGTCATACAGCAGCTGCTGGTTGTCGATGACCTGGAGCTGACGGACGTAAGCTTTAATCTGGATGTGGTTCGGAGCCAGATCCGATTCCATCCCTACATCAACGAGAAAGAAAAGTCTTCAGTCTTCACGAGCAACCGTGAGGCTTGGTTTTGAGTTCTGAATTCCTGTCCGTCGGTAACACCACCACAATGGCGTCTACCATTAATAACAATAATACTTGTATTGGATACCTGGGAGTCATTTCTCTGCCACTATCAAGCTCTCTGGGACGCTACTCTGCATGGGGGGGGGGGCGTCGCATACCGTGAGGTTGTCTCGAAGCATTTTAACAGGGACGTACAGTAAAGTGCAGCCACTGTGTAGTTTGTGAGCAAAGACGGCAGCCAGGACACTGGGAGGAACTCCCTCCTCTTTCTGATTAGCGCCGTGGGATCTTTGTAACGTCCGACCGAACAGGCAGACGGGACCTCAGTGTTAACGTTTCCTGTCGTTTCAAGGTCAGCGCCTCTCCGACAAAGCATCACTGCCCGAGCATTGCACTAGTGGGAGCTTCAGCCGGGGCTAGATGAGGTCCAGCTGCTAACGTGGACACGGGCCTCTCAGCCGGGGGCGAGAGAGTTACAGGCTATGCCGGGCCGACACACTTATACGGTGAGAGGCTGAGTGAAGCTGAGCAGGGTGGGGTCTGACTTGGCTGCGGTGGTCTACGCTGCTGATGGCTCTCTGCTACTTACGGAGTGGGCTGCTTCGGTACCGCCTCATGCTCCTCACCGTCTCCGCCACCATGTGCTGCGGGGAAAGCAAACGGTGAGCGAGAGGACCCGGAAAGCAAATCGGGGAGCGAGTTTCTGTTGCTTCGCGCGCAGACGCTGTTTCCGCCGCCAATGGGGAACAAACTTGAGAGTGCGTCAGTCACGTTGTTACAGCAACCGCGAGGCTCGGTGTGAGAGGAGAGCGGTCAGAACCACCTACTGACTGAGCGACCGGACTGTTAACGTTGGAGCTACCGCTCTGCCAGACCCTCCAGCGCAGAGTGGAGCTGTGCAGTGCTGTGTGGAGCTGCCTCACCCCTCAGGCTGCCCAAACCCTCACCAACGCGTCCGTCACCTCAAAGCTTGATTACGGGAACTCCCTCCTCATTGGCCTTCCCAACCCCTTCACAAGCTGCAGATCATCCAAAACTCTGCAGCTCGTGTGCTCTCCCGTACCAGGCTCCGCGACCCCCCATCACTCCCACCCTCGCCCGACTCCACTGACTCCCCTTCCCCCAGAGGATCGAGTTCAAGATCCTCGTCCTCACCTTTAAGGTCATCCATGGCCTTGCCCCCTCCTACCTCTCTGACCTGCGACTCCCTACCAACCTGCCCACTCCCTCCGTTCAGCGGGCTCCGGGCTGCTCCATGTCTCCCGCCGGACCGGCCCTACCATCAGTAGCCGGGCTTTCAGCCTCTCTGCCCCCATACTCTGAAACTCCATCCCACGGTCCCTTTGCCTCGCTGCCTCCCTCGCCTCCTTCAAGGCCGGTCTCAAGACCCTTCTCTTCAACCGCACCTTTGGTCTCCCTCCCACCTCTCTGCCTTCCCTCACCCCTACACCACCCCACTCCCATGGTCGGGCCCCGACACCTGACTGTTCAGCGCTTTGGGACGTCCTCCCGACGTGAAAGGCGCTCTATAAATGTCATTTTGTTGTTGGAGCTGTGCTGTGTGGAGCTGTGCTGATCGGTGCCACGGGAAGGGACGGAGAGACGCTCACCATTTTTTCGAAGTTGACCAGCTGGTTGAGGAAGGTTTTGTTGCCCTCGTGTATGAAGGTCATGTCTGAAAAGGACGGCAAGAGCGAGATGTGTGAGGTTAACACTGAATTACCTCCAAAAGCCACCACAGGCCGAGGCTAGCTAAACGGTCTGTATACAGCACGGAAACAGGCCACTCGGCCCAACCTTCATACTTATCTACAGTTGAATGTGAACAAGACTGAGGCCTCCTCAGCACCTCAGGCTCTGGCAGCATCAACCTCCACGGTTGCACACTTCAACTCACCAAACCAGTCAGGAACCTCGGTGTCTTGTTCGACCCTCAACTGTCTTTTCTCTCCCCCATTCAAGCTATGACCCGCTCTGCCTTCCCTCACCTCCATAACATCGCCCGACTCCGCCACTACCTCACCCCTCAGGCCACTGAAACTCTTGTTCATGCCTTCATCACCTCCAGGCTCGACGATGCAAACTCCCTGCTTGTCGGCCTTCCCAACTCCTCCCTCCACAGTTGCAGATAATCCACAACTCTGCAGCCCGTGTCCTCTCCCGCACCAAACTCCGTGACCCCATCTCCCCCACTCTCGCCCGACTCCAATGGCTCCTATCCTTCAGAGGATCCAGTTCAAGATCCTGGTCCTCACCTACAAAGCACTTCACGGCCTCACCCCACTCTACGTCTGTGACCTCCTAACCCCCGACAACCCGCCTGTTCCCTCCGCTCAGCCGGCTCTGGCTGCTCCACGTCCCCCAAACCACCCGCCCCACCATTGGCGGGAGAGCCTTCAGCCACTCTGCCTCTGGAATTCCATCCCCCAGTCACTCCGCCTCGCCCCCTCTTCAGCCTCCTTCAAGTCCCACCTCAAGACCCTCCTCTTCGACCATGCCCTCGGCCACCCCCCTTCCCCTCCCCTCCCTCCCCACCCCTGACCCCAGGTCGGGTCTGAAATGCTGTTCACTGTCCAGTGCCTTGGGACGTCCTCCCGACATGAAAGACGGTACACAAATGTAATCTTGTTGTTGTTGTTATCTGGTCGGCTTCATATTTATCTAGTCCTGCCTTCTACCTCATTCCTGTAACACTGTGTCAGCCTCGCTGCTCTCCTCTGGCAGTGTCTAACACTGTGCTCAGCCTCACTGCTCTTCTCTGCCCTGTTTCTAGGGCTCAGGTCTCTCGCTTGCAAGCCAGGCAGAGGGCGAAACCTTGGGCAAGTTTCCTTACTCCACACAGAGCCTAATAATAATCCCTCCAAAACCCAAAACAATAATAAATTGGTCATTTTCAATCTGCGACTGTTTGTGGGACATTGCTGTGCGCAATTGGCTGCGGCGTTCGCCCACAAATATGCAGTCAATTCACTTTACAGTGTGTTCTGTGAAGCGCTTTGGGACGTCCTCCCGACGTGAAAAGCGCTATATCAAATGCAAGGATTATTATTATTATTATGAGGGCTGGTTGGCTTTGGGATGTTGTCCCGATGAGGGGGGAACAGCCTTACCTTTCAGCAAAAGGGGAATGAAAGGAATGAGAGGAGGGTTCATTCTGGAAATGGCATCTCTGTAGGACTTGTGATTGCGTGAAGGATCCTGTGCAAGACAACATAAAATCAGTGGGAATGTGGAACCATGTCGGCCAGACTCCTCCAATGTTTTAAATCAGCTCCAGCTCCGTCCTCGCTCCCACCTGCCCTGAAATAGCATTCATCACAAAACTAGTCACCCACTTTACCTGTAAAGTGCTTTGATTCACATAGACTACAGCATAGAAACAGGCCATTCAGCCCAACCATTCGGTGCTGGGGTTTGTACTCCACATACACCCCCACCCATTGTTTCCCCACCCCTCTTCCCATTTGCTTCTCCTACACTTGTGTGTGTAAATTTCAAGCTTCCTCATAAGAGCATTTACGTTATCTAATTGAATTATCTCACTTTCTCATTGCCTCCTCCTAAATTCTCCTTTAGATCTCCCGAGTCGCTTTGAGATACCCTCCTGACGTTAAAGGCATTACACCGAGTGTAAGGACTATTTTTATTAATAATAATAAATATGGTGGATATCCTGAAATGCCCCAATTCAAATCTTACCCAGGAGCCACTCACCGTTAAACTCTCGAATTTCTGGAATACCTTTTTGCATTTTGCCGGCAGTTTCTGAAAAGCAAATGAGCAAAACCTTAAATTACATTTTGTTTTTAAACAGTGCCGACATGGAACGCCACATTCGGTCTGGTTTGGAGACTCTTAAACGTGGCGATGGGTTTTGCATGCGTCGAGACACTGATCACGGTGCTGGGTTTCCGTGTGTGTCAGACACCCGACCGGTCACGGTGACGGGTTTCCGTGTGTGTCAGACACCCGACCGGTCACGGTGACGGGTTTCCGTGTGTGTCAGACACCCGACTGGTCACGGTGACGGGTTTCCGTGTGTGTCAGATGTAACCCTTACAGTAAAGCCCCAATAACCCGACAATCTTGGTTTCTCGGTTGACCAGACTGAATGTTGCTAATAAAACATTCAAAATTCCAGCCCGTCCCCCCGAGCTTTGTGCCGTGACCAAAGCCAAGGAGGTCGACATCTGGCATTTCCCACAGCGGCTGACAGCGACAGAGACAGGAAGCCTGGCGACCGGCAGACAGCGATGCCGGAGTGATGGGCTGGCCAATGACTTACCTCCCAGGTGAGGGACAGGCGGCTGACAGCTGCGTTACACAGCCCCATGACGATCGCAAAGAACGAGAAGAGATTCTGCTTCTCCCTGCAGCTGGGGGAGAAACCATAGGTTTACACTTCCGTAGCGCCTCACGGCAGAGGCAAGCGTGGGCTGGGAACCCGAGCGGAGGAGGGAGGAACTGAGGGAGGCTGCGGTGGGAGATAAGGAGGACTGTAAAGCTGGGAAGGGGCTCCGGGATGGAGCTGCAGAGAGCAGTGCGGGTGGAGGGGCAAGATGGGCACAGTTTGGTTACTGTGACAACCTGATACCCGAGGACAGGGGATCCCCAGACCCACTCTCAGGCTGTCAGTGTTAATGGAGATAATAATAATAATCCTTGCACTTGATACAGCGCCTTATCCCGTCTTCGAGACGTCTCAAAGCGCTTCACAGAATATACTGGAAAGTGAATTGACTGTGTGTTTTGTGAGCAGCCAATTGCGCACAGAAAGCGTCCCCAGAAACCGTCGTGGATTGAAGTGACCAATCTAGTATTGTTTTTTGAAGGAATTATTACCCCTGGAAAAGCGATCCGCCAATCGACTAACAACTGGGTTCCTACTTACTGCTAAGTAAACAGAGATGTGTGGTGTAGGGAAACTTACCCAACATTTTGCCCTGCCGGGACTCGAACCCAGGACTCTTGCATTCTAAGCACTGAGCTACAGGACTCATAATCATAATTATCCTTGCATTTGATGCAGCGCCTTTTCACATCTTCGATACATCTCAAAGCGCTTCACGGGATACTTTGCAAAGTGTAGTGTCTGCGCGCTTTGTCGGCTGGGGGTCGAGGCTGGCTGGGGATCTGGGCTGGGGGTCTGGAGATCTGTGTGGCTGGGCTGTGGGGTTGGGTGTCTGGGCTGGCTGGTGGGCTGAGCTGGGGGGCTGAGCTCTGGGGCTGGGCTGGCTGGAGGGCTGGAGGGCTGGCTGAGGGCTGGTTGTGGGGCTGCCAGCTGGCGTGGCTGAGGCACTGGGCCGGGAGCTGGGCTGTGGGGCTGGTTGGAAGCTGGCTGGTGGACTGGGCTGGTGGGGTTTGCTGGGTTGGGGGTGGCTGGGCTGCGGGGGCTGGCTGAGAGCTGGTTTGGAGACTGGGCTGGGGGTTTGGCTGTAGGGGTGGGCTGGGCTGGGCTGGGTGGGGGTGTGGGTTGGCTGGGCTGACTGGGGTGCTGGCTGGAGGATTGGCTGGGTGGGGTGGCCTGGCTGGGTGAGATTGGGGGGTGGCTGGGCTCAAGGTTGGCTGGGGGGGTGGACTTGGGAGATGGCAGTGGTGCTGGGTGGCTGCGGAGCTGGGCTGGCTGGGGAGATGAGCTGAAAGCTGAGGGGCTGAAGGCTGGCTGTGGGGGAGCTGGCTGGGGGCGCGAGGGCTGAGCTGGCTGAGGTGTTGGGCTGAGCTGGCTGGAGGGGTCTGAGCTGGGGGATGAGCTGTGGGTCTTGGCTGAGCTGGCTGGGGGGGGTGTGGGATGCCTGGGGGTGTGTGGGATGCCTGGGGGGGGTGAGCTGGCTGAGGAGTTGACTGGAGGGGTGGCTGTTGGGTTGGCTGTGGGGTGGGGTGGTGGACTGGCTGGGGGGGGGTGGGGCTGGTTGGGGGTGATGGCTGGGGGCTGGGGTGGTTGGGCTCGCTGGGTGGCCAGGGGCCTGGCTGGGGGGGGGGGGGGGGAGATTATGAAACAATGAGATAACACGTTACGCTATGTCCTGTGAAGTGGTTTGAAAAGTCCTCCTGACGTGATAAGGGGCTGCATCAAATGTGCGGATTATTAACATTTACTATTATCTTCTGGAAACACTTTCTCCCCCTCCCCTCCCCCTCCGTCCCCCACCCCTCCCCTCCCCCTCTTCCCTGATGCACAAACATTCCGCCGCACGACAGTAACGCTCCCGTCACAAGGCGCTCGCGCGTGGCCCCGAGCCCCTGTCCAGCGTGGCAGACACTCACAGAGCTGCGATGCTGATGAAGGTTTTCAGGACCTGCGCCCGCTTGCCCAACCTCTCGCACATGAGGATCTTGGTGGCCACCCAGTGCTGCACCTCGCTGCACCGCTGCAGCACCAGCTCCAGGTTGGCCGTCCTCCGCCGGATGGTCTCGTTCCGGAAGACGTAGTGGACGAGCTCCAGCTGTAACACAAGCGCAAGCCAGCGTTGCAGAGCAGGAGGTATGGGAGCGGACGCCTTGCCTTTCTCCAGGCAGCCACCGGAGGGACTCCTCTCTCCATCAAAGCCGCGCGGGTGCCATTTATACAGCCCCTCGAACGTAAAAGGAAGATCTCAAACAATAATAAGGAAATCCCTTCCCTTCCCACTGCGAGTAGCTCACGTCAGCCTCGTGCCATCCCGGCTCAGTCACTCGGGCTCTCGCCTCACAGTCAGAAGGCTCTGGGTTCAAGCTGCGGGTGGTGGGGCAGTGACGCCACCGTCTGGGCTGACAGCCCCCCCACCCCGCATTGGGGACGCTGAGCTGCGCTTCACTTGAATCCCGTGTCCGTCTGTCAAAGAACTCACAGTACTAGTGGGAAAGAGAAGGGGTGACCTCCTGACAATACCCCCAAGATAAAATCACTCATTCACTTCGCAGCTGTCTGCAGGATGTTGCTATGTGCAACTTGGTGGTGTTGGCTTGTGACGGCGTTGGTGTTGGGGTGGGGGTTGGGGCGGGGGTTGGCGAGGGGTTGGGGCGGACGTTGGGGACGGAGAACACGTACCTCATGCACACAGTTAAAGAGTTCCCAGTCAAAAGCCGTGATCTGATTGGCGAGCTCCATCATGTTCATTTCATTTATTTCGGGGCCTTCATCCGAGATACACGGGATTGGGGGTGGCGGAGTCTGTACCCGAGAGAGAGCGCGCGAGAGAGCGGGGGGGAGTGAGTGAGAGTGCGAGGGGGAGAGAGAGAGAGAGGGGAGGGAAAGATGGGAGGGGAGAGAGAGATGGGAGGGGAGAGAGAGATGGGAGGGGAGAGAGAGATGGGAGAGGAGAGAGAGATGGGAGGGGAGAGAGATGGGAGGGGAGAGAGAGATGGGAGGGGAGAGAGAGATGGGAGGGGAGAGAGAGATGGGAGGGGAGAGAGAAAGAGCAGAGAGAAAGAGCAGAGATCGAGGGAATGGGGGTGGTGGGGGGGGGCGAGAAAGAGAGATTGAGGCATGAGACGCAGGTAAACTACAGATTATCCCCCAAATAAAATTGCTGACTTGAAATTGCCAATAAAATAGCTGAGCGGCAATCCTGGTGTACACGGGCTACGGTGGTGGTCTGCCCAGAGCCGTCCCTCCACAGCCTCACACCAGCACTGCCAGTGACCATCAGCGTGAGCCCCTCTGATCTCATCCCCTTCCTCCAACCCCTGCTCCAAACCCTCCCCCTCTCCCTCTCCCCTCCCCACCCAGCTGGATCTTTGGAGTGTTAAATCCATCTAAGTTTAGAAGTTAGTCATTCCCATCCCGCCCACATATTTCTACGTGTTCGCCCTCCCCACCTCCCCCCCCATCACCGCCCCGTTTCTGTCTCACCAGGAAACTGATGCTCTCCTTTGTGCAGGCGAAGAGATGAGAGTTAATTCCCAGCGTTGTGAACACCGAGTCTTCATCCAACCGGAAAACTGTTCTCTCTGCAACGTGAAGCAAAGTTAAGCGCGGGTGGCCATGGGGGGGGGAAGGTGGGGGGGCGTGTAGTGGTGGTGGCGGCGGTGGGTATTGGTGGCAAATGATGGTGACTTGGCGTACGATGGGACGCATAGTGGGTGACTCACCCCCTGAGGATTTCATGGAGACCAGCAGCAGGTTCTCGGGTGGTCGCTGCTCTATCTCCGAGTCGAAATGCTGCATCTTCTCGGCCACACCCAGGAGGATCTCCTGCACCGAGGCAGACAGGCGGCTCTTGATGGTCACGTAGGAATGGTCGGTCGCGTAAACCTGGCAGAAAACTAGATACGCACAGGAATCAGCGGAGTTGGGGAAATTAAGCCCCGAGAGGTTTGGGCTCGTTTATCTGGTACTTTTTAGTCCCTGATCACGGCACTGATTCGCTGTCCCGGCCTCCGTCGCCCTTGCTGGCCTAAGCTCCTGTTCATTGGTTTCTGTGTACAGAAACATGTCCCGGTGTCTGTCCTGAAATTGCTCCTCACACCCCGGGCTCTGCGGGAACCTGTGCTGCTGCTCCTGAAAGAGTTAGCTCCGAGCAGTCGTCTTCCCTTCTTCTGGTTACTCTGGAACGAGCCCTCTGACTCGTCTGATTTTGAGGTTGGTTTGCAAGCAACTCAGTTTGAGTGTGAGCAACACGTGTGGTACGCTGGGTTTGAGTGTGTGTGTGTGTGTGTAACACACTCAGGCTGAGTTTGAGTGAGTGTGTGTGTGTGTGCGGGTGTGTGTAACACACTCAGGCTGGATTTGTGTTAAATGCAGCATCGGAAATAGTGAAGAAATATTGAAACTCACTCTCGTCAGTGCCACGCAGGGGCTCCCTCTGCTGCAGACAACTGCTCGTCCTGCTGAAGTGACGAAACAGTGGCTTGACCTGTTACAGGAGCAAAGAGGGTGAGAGTGAGGAACCGGTCTCAACAACTGCTACAACAACCCCATTACACAACGGGGTTTGCAAACCGAACCGTGCCTCCAACTCCAAAATCTGCCAACAAGAGGCCAGGGAAAAGCATGACTGTGCCGCACAGAAACAGACCATTCAGCCCCACTCGTCCCTGACGGCAACTACTACGACGACAACAACAAATTACATTTGTACAGTGCCTTCACAGAATACACTGTAAAGTGAATTGACTGCACATTTGTGGGCGAAACGCTGCACCAGTTGCGCACAGCAGTGTCCCACAGACAGTGACCAAATCGTTATTTTTTTTCTGAGGGATTATTATCAGCGGAAAAGCGATCCCCCAATCGACTAACATCCAGGTTGCCACCATACTGCGAGGCAAATAGAGGTGTGTGGAGTAAGGAAACGTGCCCAACATTTCACTGTGCCAGGAATAAAACACAGGTCCCTTGCTTGCCATCCCCCAGTGCCTTCGCCGCCTCCTCCCTTTCCTCCTTCAAGGCCGGTCTCAAGACCTTTCTCTTTGACCGAGCCTTCAGTTCCCCTCTCGACTCTCTACCCCCTCCTCGCTCCCTCCCTCCCCTCCCCTCACCCTGACCATTTCCCCCCAATGCTCGGGTCCTGACCCAACTGTCCAGCTCCTTGGGACGTCCTCCCGACGTGAAAGGCGCTCTATAAATGCAATCTTGTTGTTGTTGTTTCGGGAGTAAAACAAGGAAAGAAACTAACTAAACTAACAAAGCAAATCTTAAAAGGGTCGAAGAACGATCAGTTGTTGGGGCAGCAACCGTGTGCACATTCAAAACAAGACTGGACACACGGTTAAGAGTGATGTTGAGGGAAATGGGGGAAAAAGCTGGAATATGGGACGAGGGATAGGACTTGGACCTGTTTCTGAGCTGTACCATCTATGCATCTACGAGCCTCCGCGCACTCCTTGCTCCCGTGTCTGCGTTGGAGGCCGGAGAGAGAAAGAGATCGAGAGAGAGAGGAGAGAGGAACCCTGTGTCACCCCAGGTCTCTCCGTGTCTGAAACGTATTAAAAGAGGATCTAAATCACCTTTCCCCACGGTCAGAGTTTCCGTTTGTGAATGAACTGTCGCGCAGAAAGTCTGGGGAACACTTACCTTTTTCTTCCGCAAGTAGCTGCTTGCTTCGGCCGGTCTGCAATAGGGGAATGAATTGGTATTAACAACCATCATCAATAATAATCCGGTTTGTGGTGGTGGGGGGGCTTGCTGTGGGGGGGGTTTCTGTGGCTGTGGGGGATTTCTGTGGGTGGGGGGGTTGCTGTGGGTGGGGGAGGGTTGCTGTGGGTGGGGGGGGGTTGCTGTGGGTGGGGGGTTGCTGTGGGTGGGGGGGGGTGCTGTGGGTGGGGGGGGGTTGCTGTGGGTGAGGGGGGGTTGCTGTGGGTGGGGGGGGTGTTGCTGTGGGTGGTGGGGTGGTGCTGTGGGTGTGGGGGGGGTGCTGTGGGTGGGGGGGGTTGCTGTGGGTGGGGGGGGTTGCTGTGGGTGGGGGGGGTTGCTGTGGGTGGTGGGGGGGGGTTGCTGTTGTGCCGGGGGGGGCGGTGGGGTTGCTGTGGGTGGTGGGTGGTGCTGTGGGTGGGGGGGGGTTGCTGTGGGTGGTGGGGGGGGTGTTGCTGTGGGTGGGGGTGTTGCTGTGGGTGGGGGGGGGTTGCTGTGGGTGGGGGGGGTTGTTGTGGGTGGGGGGGGTTGCTGTGGGTGGGGGGGGGTTGCTGTGGGTGGGGGGGGTTGCTGTGGGTGGGGGGGGGGTTGCTGTGGGTGGGGGGGGGTTGCTGTGGGTGGGGGGGGGGTGTTGCTGTGGGTGGGGGGGGTGTTGCTGTGGGTGGTGGGGTGGGGGGGTTGCTGTTGTGGGTGGGGGGGTGTTGCTGTGGGTGGGGGGGGCTGCTGTGGGTGGGGGGGGTTGCTGTGGGTGGGGGGGGTTGCTGTGGGTGGGGGGGGTTGCGGTGGGTGGTCCTGGCTGTGGCTGTGCGGCAGTTTATTTGCTCGCGGCCGGTCTCCTGACCTGCTCTCCACCGTGTCCAGCAGGTGCTGTAGTTTGGTCACTTCTCTCTCCAGGTCAGGATAGACTCGCACCTCCTTCCTGGCAATGGCGTTCAGGTCCTAATGGCGAGAAAAATCCGTTACGCACCAGCGGCCACTGAACAAATTGCAGCACTTTGCCAAACGAACAATAATAAGGGGAGGGGCGCGGAGTGTGAGGGGGGCGGGGGGGGGTGGGGAGAGGGCTGGGGGAAAGTGGGGGGATGGAGGGGCAGAGTGGGGGAGGGGTGGGGCAGAGGAGGTGGGGTGGAGTGGGGAGGGGCGGGGTTGGGGCGGGCTTAGGGAGCGGGGTTGGGGGTAGGGGCGGGGTTGGGGGGTAGGGGCGGGGTTGGGGGGTAGGGCGGGGTTGGGGGGTAGGGGCGGGGTTGGGGGGGGTTGGGGGGGGTTGGGGCGGGGTTGGGGCGGGGTTGGGGGCAGTTGGGGCGGGGTTGGGGGTTTGGGGGGGTTTGGGGCGGGGTTGGGGGTTGGGGGAGGTTGGGGGTTGGGGGGGTTGGGGGTTGGGGGGGGTTGGGGGTTGGGGGGGGTTGGGGGGGTGGGGGGGGTTGGGGCGGGGTTGGGGGGGTTGGGGGTTGGGGGGGGTTGGGGCGGGGTTGGGGGTTGGGGCGGGCCTCACCTTCAGCATTCTGACAGCCACCTCGTCCTCCAGCAGGAGATGTTTGCACTTCTCGGCCCAGGAGGTGGCGATCATGAGTGCGTTCTGCTTGGCCAGTTGGGCGTACGCCCCATTGCCGTTCACAACCCTCTGTGAACTGCTCATGCAGTAGGTAACCCGGGGGTTAAGGGAAAGAAAACAAACAAACCCGGGAGAGACAGAGAGAGCGAAAGAGAGGTAAAATGAGCGAGCGAGAGAGAGCGAGAGAGAGAGAGAGAGAGAGAGAGCGATCGCCCTTCCTCATCAGGAAGCCTCGCCATTGCCCTGTGAAGAGTCAAAAAGACCAGAGTCTATTCTTCCCATTTCTTTGCCCTGCGGACGCTGGAGTCCAGCACCCGGCCTCCAGGGACAGCATCGCCCTCCGCGTCGCAGGGATTCTTCCCGCTCGGCTCCGGCTAATCCTGCGTGCCGAAGCCCTAGCGGGGCGGAAGCCGGGCCGGGCCGGGACGCTGCTTCCAATGGACCAAAACTGCGCGGCCTTTGCTTCTGAAATTCCGGCGATTATCCCTCGACGCACAGTCTGGAACCCCCCTAACTTGGCAGCTGACAACTTTTGCCTGATACTTCCCCCCCCCCACCCCACACCCCCCACTCCCATCTCCACAAAATCATTACAAGAGAGGGCTTCCTCCTGTCTGCCTGGACTGGGTTAGAAGACGGGACGAAAGAGGAACCTGGCTCTGGTGGAGCGCCTCACTCTGGCTGAAGGGCGGGACATCTGAAACCAGGTGTGTTACTGCCAAATTGGAACCAAACAGTGATTACCTTCCCCACAGTGTTGAGTTGGGGTTAAACAGAGCCTCTCATTGGGCTTATGGCTTGTGTGGACGTCTTCACCGACAAAGTAGAATTTTCATTTTGAGACGTCCGTCTCAAAAGGGCGTAAACTCAAGGTTTGCTCCAAGAAAAGCAACCGAGGCTGGGTCAACAGAAGACTGGTTCGGGTGCCAGAGCTCGTGTGAGGCGTGTGAAGTGAAACTGCCAACTCCTTGAGAGATATAATCTTTCTCCGCGAGCTTGACAGGCAAATCATCGGGTAAACTGAGAGTGAAGAACGGTGAAATGACAAGCTTTCCGCGCTAAAGGATATTGTTTGTGTAACACCTGCAGCAGCATGTCTGTCGGCATGAAAACCGAGTGTGTGAGCAGGAAATCGTCCAGGATGGTCTCTGCGAGGAAAGGAAACCTCCGTCGGATTAAACAACAACTTGCATTTGATATAGGGCCCCTCACACAGGGGAACGACCCAGAGCACTTGACTTCAGTGTGTTACCGCACGAAAACAGGGAATTAAGCCAAACTAGTCCATCCAGTGTTTTATATTCCATCCCTCCTAATTCCCCTCTTCTATTCCCTTCCTCTCTTCCACTCATCATGTTTCTTCAAACAGCTTTGGTGCTTTTTTGCTTCCACCACAGCAACCGACAGCGAGTTCCACAGTCTCGCTACCCTCTGCCTGAAGAAGTTCCTCCTAAACTCTTGATAACTTGACCTTGGCTTAACAAGTCACTGCCACTTAAGTCATCATGGTGCCAATATCCCAGACACACTTACTTATGGATTTATAGACATATGGCCAACTTGCCTGTCTGGGTACCTCGTCACTGAGCTCTTTTGCCTTGGAGTGACGAGTTATCGGGAGTCATTGTATTTACGCCTTCTCCCCAATGGACACAACCTGTCGACAACCACCTTATGGAATATTTTCATAATTGTAACCACCTCTATCGGGTTCCCTCTCCCCCCTGCCCTCCATCGTCTCATCTCCACTTGGTCAGAAAAGACGAGACAGAAAACGGGTTTAATTAGTAATAATTCTGGCATTTGAAACGTCACCGCAATGTCTCAAAGCGTTCGCAGCGTTTGTAGTGATTTGGTGGTTTTGTCGACAAATGCGACAGTTATTATGGTGTAGCAACGTCCCCCCCCCCCCCCCCCCCCCACACACACACACACACAAAAATGTCTCTCCGAATCCCTTCAGAAAGAACAGACAGACTCCGCTTCAACGAGCAGTGTGTTATAGCGTGTCCCACGTTGAAGAAGGCCTCTGTGAACACTGCTTTTTTTTCTCTTAACCTCCTCTTTAATTAATCAATGCCTTCTGAAGTTACCTTAATTGTCCTCGCCCTCTCGCACACACCCTGACCCACAGCCAAACAGCTGGGAGGCTCTGGACTAACATGAAGTGACAGCCACATTCGTGTGCGCTCAACATGCCCCAAAGCAGCTCCCTGAGCCCCAGGGGCTGAGGTGCAGAGTTGACGAGGATTAGCTACGTGGCTTCCCGCCCGCCGGCACACGTGAGGAGGTGCGGTGACTTTAATTATTGACAAGAAAGTGGTGGAACCGCTGACAGCTGCTACCGAGTGCGCGACGGACGGAATAACAACAAACTTTCATCTGTCACCGCGATCACGATGTCACAAACAAAAGTGCATCCAAGTACTTCTTAGGCTGAACTGCTGGCAGATTTTGTAGGTGTTGTGTCGGCGGAGAGTTCACTCACCGCGAGGTCCCACAGCAGGGAATGGCCAGTGTATCTGGGTTCAAGACCATGCCCTGTGCGCTCTCTCTAACCTCCTCCATGCCGGTGAGCTGAACATGTCCCGCTGATCCTTTGCTTCTGAGCTCTCCGGCCGCGTTTTGGTTGTCACCCCCCGAAATGACCCCGTTTCCTCTCCCCACTCTTCGCTGCTTGCGTTCAGTTCTTCTCTACTACCTTGCCTTCTCTCTCTCTCTCTCTCTCTCTCTCTCCTGGACCCCACCACTGCCTCTCTCTGCTCCAGCCTGCCCATCCTGCTCCAGGCTAATCATGGCACTCAATGGTTATCCCAGAACAGCCATCTCCCCTTCTCCCTTCCCTACACATCCTTCCCAACTCTCCTACCCCTAACTGTGCCTCAAACCCAACTCAGCCGAAACCTTCATTCAAGTGTTCGTGATCTCCCATCTCGACTACTCCAATTCCCTCCTCACCAGTTGCCTCAGCTCCACTATCAACAAAATCCAATTAAATCAAAACTCCGCCACCCGTATACTCACCCACTCTAAACTCCGTACCCCCATCACGCCAGTCCTCCTTAGACTCAAGTGGCTCCCAATCACAGAATGGATCGACTTCAAGATCCTCACACTCATCCACAAATCCCTTCATGTCCTGGCACCTCCAAACCAGCTTACTCCCCACTCCATCAATCGCCGCCTCCGCTCAGCTAGCTCCGGCCTCCTTCTTGTCCCTTGGGCCCTCCTTTCCACCGCTGGCAGCTGTGTTTTCAGCCACTATGCCCTGAAATTTTGGAGCTCTCTCCTGCCTGGTCTCCAACCCCTTCTCTCCTGAGCCCCTATTGCTCGCCATCTTAAAATCATAGAATTATACAGCACAGAAAGAGGCCATTCGGCCTATCATGTCTGTGCCGACTATTTTAAAAGAGCTATCCAAATCAATTCCTCTCTCCGCTCTCCCCATAGCCCTGCAAACTTGTCCTCCCAAAATAATTATCCACTTCTCTCTTAAAAGTTGTTATTGAATAGGATTCCACCGGCCTTTCAGGCAATGCATTCCAGATCCCAACAACTCGCTGTGTGAAAACATTTCTCCTCCCCTCCGTTTCTTTTAACAACTATTTTAAATCGGTGTCCTCAGGTTACCGGCCCACCCGCCAGTGGGAATAGTCTCTCCTTATTCCCCCTATCGAATGCCTTCATAATTTTGAAAACATCTATTAAGTCTCCTCTTAACCTTCTCTGTCCCAAGGGGAATAATCCCAGCGTCTCGAGCCTCTCCTGATAACTGAAGTCCCTTATTCCTGGTACCATCCCGGTCAATCTCCTTTGCACCCTCTCCATTGCCTTGAAATTCTTCTCAAGTGCGGTGCCCAGAAGTGAACATCGTCTCTGGCTGAGGCCTAACCAGTGTTTTATAAAGGTTCATCATAACTTCTTGATGGTCTATTTGGTGCTCTATAGTGTACACCTAACAGAGTAACAGCTCCTTTTCTGCTCCTTAACTCTTAACCAAATCGATCCTGCTTTTGGACCCTCTAACACATCGTCCCTTTCAAGGGCCTTAACCACACCTTTAATCAATATTACACACAATAGCCACACCACTTCCGTTTTTTCCTTCCCTATCCCTCCTGAATACATTGTAACCAGGAATATTCAGCTCCCATTCCCGTCCTTGTTTAAGCCAAGTCTCCTTTATTACCACTACACCGTAACCTCATGTGGCAAATTGAGCCGCACTTCACCAATCTTATTTGTCACACTCCGTGCATTTACACGCACGCACTCCAAGACCAACTGAATCTGCTCTGCATTTCTCTGCCGTCTAACCACTCCTTTCCCTGGACTGCTCCTTAATCCATTGCTATTTGTCTCTCCCAGCCCTCCATGTAACTTGTTTTTCCTCTCTAATGCTACATCCTCAAACAACAACAACAACTTGGATTTATATAGTGCCCTCCACGCCGGACGGCGTCTCACGAGTGCTTCACAATGATAGATCCCGTTTCAAAAACAACCAGGTTCAACTGGTCAACAAATTTATTAATCCCCAACACCCTGCCTATGATTAACTGCTAATTGACTTGTTTGCTTGCTTACATATAAGGTTGCCGCTGCCTCCAGAAAGATTTCCCACTCTTCTGCTGAACGAAAGAGTTCTCTCTTGCTCTCTGGTCTCTCTCTTCCTGAAGAATTCCCACTCTCACCGAATTCCTTAACAGAATTCTCGCTCTGTTCCACCTCACTCAGTTCCCTCCTCACGCTGCTGGGCTCTCTGCTCAAGTCAATTCCTTGCTTCTGCTCTACCCCCACCGAGTTTTGGGATTGCTGCGTAGGTCAGAGACCGATCTGCATTGACCTTTTGCCGCTGCTACATCTGGATGGTATTTTTAGGTCGGGACAGAGAAGATGCCGAGTTTATCAAATGGCCAAATAGTTACTGCCCTCCTTTTTTCAGGGGGAGAGGAAACGGGGTCTCAATAGAGCAAAGCTAGCTCTAAGGTGACATGGTTGGAAACAGTACGTCAGAATCGGACCCATCCTCTGATGGTCGCGAGTCCGGTTCCTGAGCCACTGCTCGACAACAGCCGTGCCCAGCCTGGCTCATCAGCAGTATTCGGAAGAGCAAACCAGTTACTGGGATCAGGGAATCTGTTTACAGGAGACCAGCGCTGTGTACGTGGGGTCAGGACTACGTAACGGAGGTCAGGACTACGTAACGGAGGTCGGGACTACGTAACGGAGGTCGGGACTACGTAACGGAGGTCGGGGCTACGTACAGGAGGTCAGGGCTACGTACAGGAGGTCAGGGCTACGTACAGGAGGTCAGGGCTACGTACAGGAGGTCAGGGCTACGTACAGGAGGTCAGGGCTACGTACAGGAGGTCAGGGCTACGTACAGGAGGTCAGGGCTACGTACAGGAGGTCAGGGCTACGAACACGAGGTCAGAGCAGTGTACAGGAGGTCAGGGCTATGTACAGGACATTAGGGCTGTATTTGCAGAGCAAGGGATGTGTACGGTCGGCTAGAGCTGTGTACGTGGGGCCAGGGTTTTGTACAGGACGTCAAGGCTGTGTACAGGTCAGAACTGAGTACAGGAGGCCAGGGCTGCGGACGGGAGGCCAGGGCTGCGGACGGGAGGCCAGGGCTGCGGACGGGAGGCCAGGGCTGCGGACGGGAGGCCAGGGCTGCGGACGGGGGCAGGGCTGCGGACGGGAGGCCAGGGCGCGGACGGGAGGCCAGGGCTGCGGACGGGCCAGGGCTGCGGACGGGGCCAGGGCTGCGGACGGGAGGCCAGGGCTGCGGACGGGAGGCCAGGGCTGCGGAGGGAGGCAGGGCTGCGGACGGGAGGCCAGGGCTGCGGACGGGAGGCCAGGGCTGCGGAGGGAGGCCAGGGCGCGGACGGAGGCAGGGCTGCGGAGGGGGCCAGGGCTGCGGACGGGAGGCCAGGGCTGCGGACGGGAGGCCAGGGCTGCGGACGAGGCCAGGGCTGGGGGGAGGCCAGGGCTGGGGGGAGGCCAGGGCTGCGGAGGGGAGGGGGCTGGGAGGGGAGGCCAGGGTGCGGAGGGGGCCAGGGCTGCGGAGGGGAGGCCAGGGCTGCGGAGGGGAGGCCAGGGCTGCGGAGGGGAGGCCAGGGCTGCGGACGGGAGGCCAGGGCTGCGGACGGGAGCCAGGGCTGCGGACGGGAGGCCAGGGCTGCGGACGGGAGGCCAGGGCTGCGGACGGGAGGCAGGGCTGCGGACGGGGGGGGGGAGAGGCCAGGGCTGCGGACGGGAGGCCAGGGCTGCGGACGGGAGGCAGGGCTGCGGACGGGAGGCCAGGGCTGCGGACGGGAGGCCAGGGCTGCGGACGGGAGGCCAGGGCTGCGGACGGGAGGCCAGGGCTGCGGACGGGAGGCCAGGGCTGCGGACGGGAGGCCAGGGCTGCGGACGGGAGGCCAGGGCTGCGGACGGGAGGCCAGGGCTGCGGACGGGAGGCCAGGGCTGCGGACGGGAGGCCAGGGCTGCGGACGGGAGGCAGGGCTGCGGACGGGAGGCCAGGGCTGCGGACGGGAGGCCAGGGCTGCGGACGGGAGGCCAGGGCTGCGGACGGGAGGCCAGGGCTGCGGACGGGAGGCCAGGGCTGCGGACGGGAGGCCAGGGCTGCGGACGGGAGGCCAGGGCTGCGGACGGGAGGCCAGGGCTGCGGACGGGAGGCCAGGGCTGCGGACGGGAGGCCAGGTGCTGCGGACAATACAATTCTAAAACACTCTCATGTTTCACATAAACCGATCTGGTGTGATATTTGGAATCCTGTAGCTCAGTGGTGAGAGCACTCGCCTCACAAGTGAGAGGTCCTGGGTTCGATTCCCGAGCAGCGAAAAAGCTTGGGCAAGTTTCCTTACTCCAAACGCCTCCGTTTACCTAACAGTAAGTGGGCATCCACTCGTTAATCGATTGGCGGATCGCTTTTCTGGGGGTAATAATCCCTTTAAAAACAAATGAATAAATAAAAATAATAATAACTTGGTCGCTCAATCATGAATGTTTGTGGAACACTGCTGAGCACAATTGGCTGCCACGTTTCCACTACAAAACGTGCGGTCCATTCACTTCACGGATTGTTCTGCGAAGCGCTTTTTGCGATGTCGCGCAGACATCATAAGGCGCTGTATCAAACGCAAGGATTGTTATATATTTTATTTGGTGGGGAAGGGTACGACTTGGAGCTGCCGCCCTTATCACACTGGCAGTTCCTGAGACCAAGAGGAAAAACATCCCTGTTTCAGAATGTCAAATCAGTGATCATCGAGTCCCTGTGTGATACCCCACCCACCAGCCCCAGCAAAGTCCAAAGTGACTTGATTTTATTCTTCTAACAGGAAGTGTTTGTTTACTCAATTTCCAATCTCGTCACACTCCCACGCCTGTCGCCCTGCCCTTGCCAGGCTCCCCTCTCTCTCTCTCTCTCTCTCTCTCGCTCAGTAAATCAACTTCAAGATCCTCGCCCTCACCTGCAGGTCTCCGCACCTCCCTATTGCTCCAATCTCCTGCTGCTCCTCGGCTAACTTAATAACAATCC